TATTCTTGTAACTTTACTCACTCAAGGACAAAAGACTGAAGATGATAAAGAGCCAAGTGGAAATGGAATGAAATAATTTGTTTGAAATGTTCATTTAAGAAACGCTAAGTTGACTGTCCATCTTAGGCATCCATCGATATGAATATCATTGTAATGTGCAAAGATATATCAAACTCACTTGATTTGGTTTAATAAGGAAATGGATTGACACAGTGAATGAGAAATGAAAAATGATTGTTTCCTCTTTTCTGGTTTTTCTTGCTCTTGTTCCCATTGTAGTCTCTTGCTCTTGACACTTCAAGTCAATCTGAGTGGCTAAGCTTGAGATAATGTTGAGCTTCAATTTGACAATTCATTGAATCAAAACAAAAAACTTTTCTTGTTCTAATGGTAAAATTTAAAGGTAAAACTTTCCTCCGGGCTTTTTACTGCTCACCTTATCATTAATTGTATCCACTTATGTAACAGCAATCATGATCGTGATTGAACCGGCTTTTAAATCACAGGTAATCACACACTTAATACACTCTTGGATAACGAGCTCACATTAATCTATTTTTTATGGTTTGCTGTTCATTCAGTTCCAAGGGTTCTATGATTATATGCAAATTGATTTACTTTTTTCTTCTTCTCCTTTATAATGGTTCAAAATTAATGGAGGAAACTGTTGAAATTGATAAAACCTGAAAATGCGCTAATTAAATTAACTCTGTGAGTTACATTCGCCTTTCAACTTTGTACTTTAAATATCTTGATTGCTGACATGAAACGAGTAAAATGTTTACATTGTTATCAACAGTTGACTCTACAAGCAGACGATCGATCATGACTGATTACAAAAATTTTTCATTGAATACAATTTCTAGTAGAAAAGTCTTTCTTTAAGCACAGATTCAAACTGATTCATCAGATACCATAATTCTGGTAGAATCAAGTCATTTTATTCAGAACCACCAACTATCCATCTTATCACAATAAACAGGATTCAATTATCTGATTGCATTCATTGGAAACTTTATTGTGTTTATTCCACAAGATTTTTGAGATTTGTCTTGTACAGTTACTTGCTATTCACCGACATGTAAGTTAGTGAGGCAAATGAGGTGAAGTGGAGAAGGTTATACATCAATTTGTAAATCAGCTGAAAGAGCAAGGCATCCAATCTCGGCACCCTGTAAGTACCATCGAACAATAAGCTCATAGTTACCCTGAAAATGAAAAAATGAGAGAATGAATATTCGCTGAAGTGGCAAAATATAACATAGAGAATATCAATTGTGGATTTAATTTAGGTTTGTATTTTTTACTTTGACCCAATCACAATTGACAAGAGTAGCGATTATTAATGAAATGAATCTTACCGAAGCTGCCCAACTAAAAGCAGAAAGTAATGGTTTGAATCCATCCAATGGAACTGGATAAGTAACATGGCCTGCATATCGACCTGACTTCATTAAACAATCAAAAGGCACTTTTAATTGAGTAGCGACGGCACGAGCAAAAATTGCGTTCGAAGCGACCATATGGCAGAAATTGTTAGAACAGCTTCCAACGTCGTTGATACAAGGAAGCAAAACGCTGTTTTTATAACCAAAAATGTTAAAGTGTCTTCTCAACTCAGAACTCATTGTAACTTCTTTGACCATTGGATCAAGTAAACTGAAGTCAATTCCAAATTCAATCGGACTCCTTCCATCGATAACTAAATTTTCCCTCTTGAAGTTCAACTTCCTAAAAACCAAAGATCTATCAGCTTTTCCACAGTCTTCCCAGCTGATGGCACAGGAGATGCATAATGGAAGTAAACAGAATACGATTAACTGAAACATTATGCAGAACTTTTTCAACGAAATTCAAAATTGGAGGACTTTAGCTATGAGATGAGTTAGGCTTGAATGAGGGTTTAATAACAACTCTTATTTGTTTTATATACGCTTCATCAGATTCAATAGAATAATCATGATTGATTCAAGTTCCTTTGTTCAAAGTTTTGGTACTGATGTAGTATTTATATTCTAATGGTGATTCATTCAATGGTAAAATAATAGAAGAGTTACTTTTTATCCAATTTAAATCATTATTATCGTTACATTATCATTATTTCTTTAAATCAATGTATTTTCATCTCTCTGAGCAATTTCCATGCAACATTATCTTGAAAGCAAAGAACAATAGCCTAAGATTCACAATTTAACGAACCATATAAGGTAATGGCACCGAAAATTTAGTCATAATTCAAATCGAATTGTTGATTGTAGGTTCATAAAATTAAGTCTATTTCTGATCGGCAGTTTTGACAAAATTGAAACTTCGATATCCTTTTTTGAGACAGTTGAGACACCAGATTTTTTACAGAAAACTGTTTAAACTTTGCTTGAAAGGAAAAGTTTTGCATAAAATCCTTAACCAATAATGAAACATCAACCTGAATCATCAACAAGTTTTAGCACTCACTCAATGTCATTGAATACGGTACATTTAGGACAATATAGTGAATCTCTCTGTCGTCTCCTATTTTCATGAATCTCTCCGAGATCTGGATCCTGAGAGGAGCTTCTCTATTTTTTAATTATTTCTCTTAGAACCCACTCAGTTTGGCCACAATTTCGACACAAAAATTTGATACATTGACTTTAAATAGTGTACAAATCATAGCCTAGTCATATTTCTGATGAATCAAATCTTATAATTCTGATAGAATAAAAGAAGTCTATCCTGAAGAATAACTATCAATCTTTAGTCGCACCAAACAGGATTCAATGATCTTATTACCCAAATCAATTAGTTGATTGAAACTTTATTGTGTTTGTATCACAAGCTTATTTAATCGAGATTTGACTTGAATTGAAGTTACATATTATTCGGCAACATGTGAGTTGATGCAATACATTTAAGTATGATAAGTAATGTGTGATAAAAAACGATTATAAATGGACCTCCACGCTAGATGAAACAGCAAGACATCCAATCTCGTCATCTTGCAGAAACCATCGAATGACTAACTTACTCATATTTACCCTTGCGCTTAAGACTCTCAATGATTCGATCATATTCCGTATCATTGGCAGATTGGACAACCTTTTCTTGTATAGCAAAACAAATGTTTCTCATTCGAGCATGGGTTCGAAAGGCACTGCTTCCAGACTCACCGTACTGTCCCTCCGAGCTTATCAGGCTCACATATGTCCAGTTGAAATGCTCGATAAAATCAACTAATGTCAATAATGTAACAAATTTCTAAAATATTTCATCTCTCGCTTTTTATCAAATTGCCTAAAAAACATTTCTCATCAGCTTTCCTTATTGAATTACCAAATTGCACTAAACTGTCGAGTTTCTTCGTACCTCTCCTTTACTTATTGAATCTGAGGCTTTTAGCTACAGATGGTTTAGTCACAAATGAGGGTTGAATAACAATTCTTATTATTCTTAAATATTACTAACCAGATTCACCAGAATAATAACAATTGGTTCAAGTTCAAATGAAATCAATCTTATCGATCGATGAATATTCAGATAATAGTATTCATAATTATATTGTTTGATGTGATTTGAATCTAAAAACTAGATTCCAGGAAAATAAATCTCATTCTGAGAAACATTGATTCAAAACAAGGGATGAACAAAGATTTCAATTCTGCTGATAAAATTAAATTCGAGTGGTGACTGATTCAGTTATGAGGTAATGAAAAATTTACCTTCTATCATATTTATCATTACATTATGATCTCCATTATCTCTCTATCATACAAATCAATGCATCTCTGAACAATCGCGATGTTAAATGTCCATGTACAATATTATCTTAAAACCAAAGGATAATTTATTGAACCACAATAGCAGTCAAAAGTTTAGGATGAATATTGTATGAAGAATTGATCATCATGCGATCATCCTCGAACCACGATCAAAGTCCAAACTTTTAAACAAAAGTGTTATAAAAGTAGTTTGATAACTGAATTATGATTCTGATAATTTATTGCAACTTTATTGTGTTTGTATCACAAGCTTATTTAATCGAGATTCGCCTTGAATTACATTTAACTGTTATTCATCAGCATGTGAGTAATGAAATTGTGGTGAGTGAGGAGGGATTACAATTATGCATTGATCTCTACATCAGCTGTAACAGCAAGACAGCCAATCTCAATATCATTTGAGGTCCATCGTATGGTTAGCTCATATTTACCCTGGAAATAAAAAAATATTCAATTAGGTGTTGCATTATAACACTGAGAATATCAGTCTTGAAATGAATTGAAGCTTAAATCCTTCCTAGGGTCAAATGACAATTAGAAAGAGTTAAAATC